AAACATTAAATAATCAAATTCAAGTTAGAGGCATAAATAATGGCGTTTCACAAGCCTTAAAGACAGTAACTTTGAACATAGCATCGCGTTGGAGTGATCCCGATTGATCACGGCTCGATTGGACACCACCAATCACAGCGACCAGTGCTTAGGAGCATTGTAGTCTCAAGCGCTGTGAGTGGCTCGTGTCCAATTGAGCCGTGTCCAACTGGGTGCCACTCCATCGCGTTTCGGTGCATTCAACATGGAACTACAATGTATAATATTACCAGAAATCGCACAAAGTTTGCCCTCGATAGCGATAGAAGCAACAAGTTTAAATATACCAAAGAAAATCAAGTTAGCAGACCCATGTTCCAATATACCGGATAAAATCGATGTATTGATAGGAGCAGAGAAGTTCTGGGAGTTGCTCTGCGTAGGTCAAATAAAGCTGGGAGAGGATCTACCCACGTTACAAAAATCGCTGTTAGGATGGCTAGTATCAGGAGTAGTTCACACACCCGCGATTCGAAAGAGTTTACAAATTAGTTGCAATTTAAACGTAACCGAAGATTTACATCACGCGATGCGTCAATTTTGGTAAATAGAGGAAAGCGCAGGTAAAACTAACAATTCTCCGGAAGATGAATAATACTGTGAAACACACTTTAAAGATAACTTCGAAAGAAATCCGGAAGGCAAGTTTATCATTAAATTACCGGTCAAACAAGAAATGCTGTGCTTGCTAGATAACACAAGAGAGATAGCTATTAAAAGATTCCTAAGCTTAGAAAGAAAATTCACGAAAAACCCTGAGTTCAAGAAAGAATACGTTAAATTCATGAGAGAGTACTTAGATCTGAAACATATGAAACGTATAGATGATTCACAAAAGGATAAGTTAAGAATTTTCTTGTCTCACCACGCGGTGAGAAAGGAAGACAGAATCATTACAAACACCAGGGTTGTTTTTGATACTTCCAGCAAAAACATTAGAGGTAAATCTTTAAATGACACTTTATATTGTGACGTGACATTTTGTCCGTCACTGTGCAGACTTGTCGGCGGAGGACTCGTGCTTCCTATCGGCTCAGAGGGCGAGCGCGCAGGCGAGTGCGCACGCAAGCGCGCGTGCGAACGCACCTGCGAACATGCGTTAAAACCGCGTCATCTATTTTACTCTACACACTTTCCTCTTTTTGTGTTAACATTTCTTTTGCGTAATAGCCGAGTTTATCAGAAAGCGTGGAGGCGCCACGGATCACGCTCAGCAACTGCTGTAAAATAATATTGTATCATCGTGCCGTCTCACCCGCCACTCTTGGAAGGAAGACCGAAGAAGCTGAGAGAGACGAACGCACATCCGGGAGACCGGACAAGCAGATTGTATTATTTTATAGAATTGCTCGTAACCGCTGTCGCATACGAAAGGAACCATACTTTCACCATGCACCCCTTGCAG